CGTCTCTGCCTCCGTCTGTCTCTCTCACTGTCTAGCGTACTTATATACGATAATACTGCCTGTTCTAGAAACTTCTAAGACTCTCAACACGTGCTACCAGCGTCACTTGACTTCCGCTGTCGTAACACACTAGGGAATCTTCTAGAATACTCGTCACGTGACCCCCGCTGTCGTAACACACTAGCGAATCTTCTAGAATACTCGTCCCGTGACCCCCACTGTCGTAACAATACTATGTATTTACCAGAAAGCACTTTCTACGCGTGACAAGCGTTACTATATCGATAAAGCTTTGAAAAAACATTGACTTTACTCATGAGTTGCGGATAGAATTGTGCTCGACAAGTTTCTAGACTACACATAAGATTCTTTCAGGGATTTGATGGAGGATGGATGAGATTTGCGCTTATTTTACCTTAAGTAATGGTTTTCTTGGATATACTTCTATTGTAAAATAATTACCTTGTCATAAAATAAAACAATATCGTGTGTAGCAGTTAGAGAACAACAAAAACAAAATATGAAGACTTCTGACAGTTTGTTTCTTTACTGTGTTTTCTTTTTCTTTAACTACCTTGTCTTCTATAGCTTAGCACATATATATGTGTAATGCATGTATAATATTTTCAAACAAGTGCTTATACAACAGATGTTGAGTACGTTATATTAAACCTACTCTAGAGCATCACCATTTCGTTACAGTCCATATCACTACATCCGGTCATGCTCTATCTGACGACCGTGCATCTTGACGTTAGACTTGCAGCGTAGTTTCCACTGCTAAAGGCTCTGTCATAAGGTTACCATATCCAAGGCACACCACTCCTTCTTGCATACTTTCCAAAATCCATCTAGTGCATGATCCACATTTCTTTGTTTGTATTGATCTTTTGCGTCGGAAAGAGCTTTTACATACCCTTTACAAAAGCGATGAATTTTCGGTGTCGTAACATTACCTAAGGAACGCCAAAATATATCAAAATGTAGTTCTGAGATATTCCGTTCACCGTAACTTGCTGATTTGCATATTCAAAATCATTTTTATATAATGACTTTAGTGTTATAACTAAAGCCTGTAATGTTAACATATGACACTTAGAGGAGCTGGAGATGAGTCAAATCACTAGCTGTCTTGCATTCTATTTGTTCTAAGTACATAGGAGCTTTGTTTTCTTGAAAGTTGTTGTCATGTGACTGGAATATTCTGTTATATGAGATAAATTAGCATACTTAAGGTGCCAACTCTGTTTTAAAAAAATATGATTATTTTTGTTAAAGAGAGAGAGAGATTGATTTTGGCAACAGGGAAGAGAAGATATGTGAGAGAATTTTCTGTTATTGTGCCCATAACTCAGGATATAAGTCAGCCAGTTTAGCATGTCTTACTTACGTCAGCGTTGAAAAAAAAAATAATATAGCGAAACACTCTGTGATTATCCAAAATTATTGCTCAAACTGTAAATTTAAATTTTTACCAGTTTCATCAGTCGATATCTAC